GTTCCATGGGCTCGGATGGGTACATGCTCTCAGCCTTGACCTGTGGGATGGCTCCAGTAACGTCTATCACCGAAGGGCTACAGCAGGTAAGTGCTGCCTGGGCAGCAACCAGACAGACAGACATTAGGGACCAGACGAAAACCACCTCTTCAAATCTTGATGAGTAAAAGTCAATGGAAAGTGAAGGAACTTTATTTGAGATGTGAAGAATTGTTACTGAGCTGTCCATCTTTTATTCTATCGGTGATAAGCAAATAAAACAGAGGGTTAAGATACGACTTAAGGAGTTTAGACTAAGGCGAAAGAAGTCTTTAGCGTGAGCATGGCAGGGAGAGCAAACATCTCTGCTGTTGACATGTTCACTTGGTTTTCATCTGAGGACCACTGGAAAGTGTTTAGAAACATGGAATTCTCCTCCGCTAGAATTGTTAGAGAAGGCCTTGTCTAAAATCCCTGAGATATTGGACTGGAAGATTTGTCTAGGTGAGTCAAATCATAAGTAGCTAAGCTCACGGAACTGTAAGCCAAGAATTAAACACAGTGTTTGCCCTTGTGGAATTTACAGTTTTGTCCGGGACACCAGGAGCTGTGTCGGTGGAGGCCTGGGTGCCGTGCTTGCTCCTATGGGAGCAGATGTAAAAGCTTCCCCAATGATCTAGGGCATTCCAGCTAGTAAGAGAGCCTTATGGACAGGTGGCGGTCATCTGTCGCGATGTCAAAGAGCGATGGCCTGGACAGAGAAAGCCAGGGGATGACGTTGTTATCTGCAACGGAGTACTGAATTCTGCAGCAGACCACGTTCGCACCGATGCTGAGCTGGGATTTTCCTCAGGGTCCTTCCCGAGCTCTGGGCTCTTGTCTGTCTGTGGTACCCCCACAACCATGCCATTGTCTCTCCGATGTGGACACCCCATTAAGATACAAGCTCATAAAGAACAGCTCCTTGTCTTTCTTGGTTGCTACCAAACCCCTCGCAGCCAGTCCTGGAGCTTAGCAGGAACTCCAGAATGCCAAGCTGAACCAATGCGTGAACCTGCACATTCTCCATGGCGACCTGGCTTTTCTCACACCAATTCTAAACACGTGATGCCACGTCTCATGTTCCAGCATAACTATTTCCTGTCTAAGTCTCTGTGGATTTCTTCTACACGCTGTCCCTGGGAAGTGACCGACATCTCTAGTTCAGCGTGTGCAAAAGAAATCTCTGTGTGGCCCTGGCACCCTGCCTCCCTTCTCGCACCCTCGCCAGCAGCCTGCCCTTCCTCCTGTGCTCCTTCTCTGTGATTGGTGCTCATGCTCACTCAAGGACGTGGCCAGAGTCTGGGGTGACATCCCACCTTCCCCGCTTCTGCCCCTCACACTGGGGAGCAGATTCCTTGCCGCTCTATGCTGGTCCCAGAACCAGCTCCTTTTTTGTCAGCCTGGCCGCTCTCCGTAGATCAGGCCGGGTTGCACACTTTGAGAGCCACAGGTAGTAAACAGGGACCAATGGACCCATGGAGCATTTCATTCAGTCCATCTGGACTGAGCATGTGTGTTTAAATAAAATAATTTTTTTTTGAGAGGTTTTCGCTATAGGGTGCATGCACTCGCCAGACAGACAGAGAGAGACATAGAGACAGAAAGCAAGAAATCACCCCCCAGGGGGGATGGTCACGCCGCAATCCTTCTCCTCCATTCTCCTCTCGGGATCTTGGACACGCACGGACACGTGCCCGGCATGAGTTTAAAGCCACCAGGTCCGGGACGCGAACCGTGGTCGACTATGTGGGAGTCCAGTGACATAGCCATTACGCTAACTGTTGGTTCCCTAAATAAAATAGTTTTAAAATCAGATTATGTATAAAATGTCCAGATTTCAGACTTTTCTTAGAAAATCAGAAGGTCTAGCAGCACAGGGTCTGCATTGGCAGAAGGCAGAAATCAGTGATTGAGCAACCAATAACTGAAGAAAAATACATCACAAGTGATCATTTTCATATTCTCAGATGAGTTTCTATTCAACTCACTTGTGTCCAACAGTTCCTAGCTCAACAATCTTCCCATTTTTACAGGTTTTGCTGTTGGGACAGGGCACAGTCCCCCCCCACGCCCCATACCCATCCTATGGCCTAGAGCACCGGTGTCAGAGCCCCAGAGCCCGAAGATGCATGAAGTCTGCCATCACCTCTTCACTGGTTTTTCCAAACTGCAGATTTACCTTGCATAAGAACCTTCAGTGGCTCCCAGTACCACTGAGATAAAGCTTAAATCCATCCCATGGTGCAATACTTGCGGCCTCCCGGCTCACCTTTCTAGCTTCTTTTCCTTCTTTCCCTCCCCCCCCCTCTTTCTGGAACTTTCTGTGTCCTTCCACTCCCAACTTTACTGTGTCTGACCCACTTCTAGTCTTCCTTCAGGACTCACCTTTTGTTTTTGCAGAAAACCCCGGGGCTGAGTTTAGGGTCTTGTACCTGTATTTAAGCACTATATTTTGCTGGGTGGTAATGGCTTTTTCTTGGGGCCGAGGGGCAGGTTCCTTTCCTTCAGGTTTTGGGGTCTTCTACAAATAATAGAGTTGATGTTTTAGAGCAGTTTTAGGTTCACAGGGTGCTGGAGCCAGAAGTACAGAGAATTCTCTCTATCCCCTCTTGCTACCTGCGCCCACAGTTCCCGACTCGTGGTATCTTCGTTGCTGTAGTACATCGTTACAGGGGGGGAGCCCATGCTGGTAGTGACTAAATACAGTCCCCTGGGATTTACCCTCGGTAATGATTCGTATGGGTCTGACACATGCACAGCCTCATGTCCTCCCTCCACTCTGCCGTTTTATGCAGAGTAATTTCATTGCCCCGAAAACCCTCTGGGTGTCACTTTTTCATCCAGCCATGCAGCCCTTGGCAACCAGATCTTTTTACTATCTACGTAGTCTGGCCTTTTCCAGCTTCTCTGCCCTAAAGTTTTCACTTTTTTTGTTGTTGTTGGTGTTGCCATAGGACATGTGTCCTCACTGGAGACAGAGAGAGAGACAGTTTGGATGCCAGGTTCTTGCCTTCGACAATAAAAGATGAAGACTCAGCCTCCTCCGAACCGTGCTCTTCCCGTGGTGTCCACATTTCCCACGATTCCCCCTTTCGTGGTGTTGGTTTTGTTCATCTGTGAAATCGTCACTCGGGTTAGATTGGTATCTGAGATGAACGTATCTGACTAGTTACGTGCTGTCCACAGCTGAGTGCCATCTCTGTGTCACACGGGATTGATTACTTCTTCTTTTCTGTACAGCTTTTTCTGGAAACTCTTTTTGGCCCTTGTTTTGTATATCATTTCTAGGTTTTACTAATCTAGTAATAAGCCAGTTCTGCGGACTGGCTTCATCTCCTGGTGAGATGTTCATACATATCGGATATCGGGCCAGTATCTTCTGGAAGAAGTTCCTCCCGGAGCCTCTGCCCTGCCAGGACTGGCTGCTCCCATGCCCAGGGCTGAGCCAATGCCTGGCATCCCCCGTTGGTCGTCCTGGGGAATCCCTCTGCCTCTCTGTATCTAGTTCCCTGCTTCTCACATCCCGTGACACTGTCTCTTTTTGTTGATCTCTTCACTTTGGTTGGTTGTTTCTTCTAGGAGCTTCCAGGGGTGGGCAAGCAGGGAAGAGTGCTTAAGAGATACAGGGTTTTTTTGTCTGTCTGTTTTTTAAGAGAGATTTTGTGCACTCTCCAGACAGAAAGTGAAAAAAATCATACCCCAGTGGGGATGGCCGCACTGCTCTACCTTCTCTGTTCTTTTGGGATCCTGGGCATGCATGCACATGCACCCAGTGTAAGTGTGAAGCCACCAGGTCCAGGACTTGAACCATGGTCAGCCATGTGGGAGTCCAGTGATGCAACCACTATGCCATCTGCTAGCCCCAAGAGATACATTATTTGAGACTTTGTGTATTTGAAAATGTTTTTCTTACTCCTTGGAGTTCAATGCCTTTTCAAAATCCCATTTAGAGTTGTTTAGTGAGTCTTTTAGTGGAACACGTAAAGGTCAATGGCTATGCTTCCTGGGTGAAGCGGTAAATGTCTCACCAGGTGGCTCACCTTCCTAGTTAGCGAATGAGCTTCTTGAGGGCAGGAGTGTGTCTTGCTCACCATCGCGTTCTCAGTACCTGACATTGGTCTTCAGAGCATGAATCTCCAACACCGACTGCAGTTGGGCTATTTGAGATGCCAGAGTGGACCTTCCCTAGCTATTATGCTGTGACAGCTATTGAGAATACAGACTTTGTTCTTTCATGATCAGGCTGTATTGGGCGAGTATTTTGTCACCATTCATTTCCCAGGCCCTGTGTTATACAGGGGGACAGGGCAGACACAGTCTGTTCTTGGACTCTACTGACATTGATGGGGTTTTCATTATACTTACACTTGAACCTGATAGATGTGTCTTAGAAACTATTAGGTTGTCAGAAAAGCCATAACCTATTTTCTGTGCAAAAAGGTGTCATGACTTTTCCAACAACCTAGTATGTGTGCCTTGGAGTGAGGTGTCATCCTCAGCGGGGCTACAAGGACGCTGTCTTATTTTGCAGGTGGTCACCATGGGCCTCTTCCGCACCATTGCATTGTTCTACCTTGGAAGTTTCGACAGCATAGTTCGCCGCTGCATGATGCGGAGCGCAAAGTCTGAACCTGAAGACAAAACTGCTTGATCCTTGGGAGGTCTTCACCCCTGGGGAGAAGACTGTTTCCAAATAGTTTGAACAGCTTGCTGCTAAATGGGACCCAACTTTTGGCCTACAGACTCTTCTGTATTGTTTTTGAATATTGGTGAGATTGGACCAGTGCTCTTCAGAAACTGGCTGCAAGCCAGGGCATAGACATTCACTTCCAGACAATATTATTAATACTATGCAAATATAGGATGGGAAGCTGTTTGCTTTTCTGGGCTCTGAGCTGGAGAGGTGGTGATATGAGAACTAATAGCAGGTGAACAGGGTAAAGAGCAAATTATAGAATGCTAATTTAAATTGTTCCTATTTATTCTTTTCCTCCTACTCCCAATAGGGATTAAGTCTAGAAGTATGCTTATGGCACGTAAGAAGTTTTGAGGATTTTTTTTTTTTTTTGCACCATATGGCACGTGCACTTGCCAGAGAGAGAGAGAAAGTGAGAAATCACCCCCCAGGAGGGGTGGCCACATCACAATCCCTTCTCTTCCATTCTCCTCTCAGGATTCTGGGCATGCAAGCACATGTGCCTGGTGTCCAGGTCCAGGACGTGAACTGCATGTGGGATCCAGCACCATGTGGGGTTCCACGCCTTAACCTCCACGCCACCTGCTAGCCCATTGAGGACCTGTGTTAAACCTTCCGTGAAAGGCAGTGTGTACTTTTCTGCACCTTTTCTCTTTTCCTTTTCTTTTTAACTTGGTGTGTTTTATTCAGGATGAGTTTTACCCCTTGCCAGCATGTCCGGTTGTTGCCCACTCCTCCGTGTTGGACTCAGGGCCCACTCTGCTGCTGGTGGAAACTCATGGCTTCTGCTTTTCTTTGATCCCACAAGGCCACAGGGGGATCGGAGATAGGAAGGCAGTGGGAGGAAGGAGATTGGCACGTTTTCCAGTAGGAAAGGCAATGCTTCCTTGTCTTTAGACTTAAACATTTAGGGAACATTTAATTTTTCATTCACAGGGAAAGGCAGCCTCCTTAAATGTTTTCTGAAGAGAAATAAAATCTTAAAAGCTTCAAAGTTTACAATTTCATCAATAGCCATGATGACCTGAAGTTCACCTACTCTGTCTTAGTGTCTACTTGTTCTTTTCATTTCTTCCATTCCGATTTTGCTTATCCTGCCATAATATTTTTGTAAAAAATGAAAGAAAAAATAAGAAAGAAAAAAAAAAAAGACCAGCTAAAAATTTTTCCACTCGACTTTTTAAATTATTTCATGAATTAATTAAATGAAAAAATGAAAAGTGTGACATTCTTGTCATAGCATATATGGAGCTTTTTGGAAAGGCTTATATATTGCTTTTACTTCTTAAGAAAAAAAAGACAAAGCTGATTTTGAAGATACTTAAAATGACTGTCCCATTGACCCTGAGGACATAATTTCATAGCATGCATTAGGGAGGCCCACTCATCACTGTCGCTAGAGTGCCGGACGTCCTCTTGGTCCCGGGAATGTCGTTTCCAGGTTACGATGTCTGATGTTCAGTTAGTGGATTTCTACAGCAAGTGCCTATGATGAGTTTTAGCCAACATGCCCTGTTTCCTCCTGTTCATTGTACACGCTTGTCTGACTTAAAGATAGTTACCCGCCTCTTGATACTAGTCCCCCTTCCTGCATATTCAGTAGCACATTCCAGTGCCCTTCAGTGAGAAAAGACCTCTGCTTTTGAAGACACTTTTATATTGTAAAAAATAAACAAATAAATAAAAAGTTAAAAAAACAAAAACAACAAAAAACAAGGACCTAAAGGTGACAACAAACCTTTTTTGCTCTTGGGTGTTTGAAGCTGTTGAATTTAAAATGACTTACTCTTTAAATAATACTGTGTTTAGTGGTTTTAATCCGTGGTATATTTTTATCAAGATCTGAGAATGGCATATTTTAAACATGGGTAAATACAGAAGATATAATTTAATATATAAATTGCTTGTAATGACTTTATTCTAGTTTATAGAGATTGGTTGATGCCAAAATGGTTTCATGAATCCTTTAGTCATGTATAGCCAAAGTTTGCAAACTGTGTGGGGTCAAAAGTGTGCAGTCATTAAAGTGGAATAATGGCTGTATTTCCCTAATTTGCAGAAAACGATTACATTAATATCTGGACATTTCTTTTCTCATAAGCGTTTCATAAATATTGGCACCTTCTACTGCTGGTCTGTATTATAGTCTAGTCTAAGACGGTATCTGATTTAATAAAGTTAACTATTTAACAATAGTTATTTCAATATACATTTTTTTTAGGTTATCTTCAGAAGACTGTTACCTTCAGATAATCTGCTGTCTGAACAAATTGATAAGCCCTCATTCTTTGGTGGGAGATAGTATCCCTAACTCAAGGTTAGCAAATTTGCGAAGATCATAGTGACGGGAATGAGCTGCTGTTAGAGATCCATGAAGTCCATAGTCCCTTACCCGAAACTTTGAAAACTGTGTGTGTTTTCCTCTAAAATTAGTGCCATAATTCATTTGGTAGCAAAATCAGACTTGAACTGATGCAAGACTATTGTGTTTTTCACTTACACCACTGAGTACACTGTATGTTTATTCACCTGAAGAAATTATCGGTGGGTTTGATTATAAGTATTACTGCAGACTCTGCTTTATAATCTCTAATATATGTCCCATGTTATCTTTTTTAAATCCTAAAAATGAGGAATTCTAAAAAAAAAAAAAATCTGGCCTGAAGAGTTTTGGTTAAGGGGTTGAAGACATTGAAGCAGGATCACACATGAAATTATAAGGCAAAATCTATTTTTTATCTTTTCTGACTCAGTTCTTATACCACTTGTGTTTCTGCTCAGGAAAAGAAAAAACAAAACCTGAGACTAATTCATTGTTAGGGAAAATGTTGACTTTATTTATTTATTTTTAAGGATCCTATCAATTGAATACCTGCCATACCAGAAGTGGGTAAATCTTCCCTGTGTCAGTTGAAGTTTAGTTATAACTCTGTTAAAATGTTGGCTCTCTATATATGACCAATAACGGTTATTATGTAAATTTCAGTTCTGAAGTGCCTGCTTGGCTGGGTTTGGTTGTACTATTTTATTGTAAATATTCATGAATGTATTTATTTAAAAAGTAACGTCATTCAGCCATAGGAATTCCAAATATATGTTCAAGGATGCTTCATAATTGAAAAATATACAGAAAGCAATCCTCATTTCTTTTTATAGAAACCAAATCATGAGGGTCTTTTATATACTTTATAAAATTTCATGATTTGCACAGTTGAAGCTTTAAATACAGTTATGAAGATCTCTTTACATTCATACATCTCCTTAGTCATATATCTTTATCTGGATCTGTTGAATTACATAATTATATTAATTCTTGCAAGTGAAACTTACAAGACTGTACTGTTTCAGCAAAGCAAGCATAAAGGTTTAGGTCATCGGGAAAGTGGTGAGACTGTACTGTTTCAGCAAAGCAAGCATAAAGTTTTAGGTCGTCGGGAAAGTTGTGATGTGCTTTTCTATGTAAGAATGTGTCATGACTTTCCCAACGATCCAAGAGTTGCTTCCATTCGAATTATTGTATGTCTTTGTCTTTTTTAGGAACAGGCAATACCACATTTTTTTCTGCTGAATTATATCAACGGGAACTAATTTTATTACAACATGTTCTAAATTTAAACCTGAAGGGTTTTGGATAAGGGGTTGTAGACATTGAAGCAAGGTCACTTGACGCCACTTTTCAATATTCATGCTTTGGAACATTAGATGGTTTGTATCTTTCTCATTTCCTTTAGTTTTTAGTAACTCAGCATGGAAAAAGAAGTCCCTGCTAATGGTTTAGATTCTGCAGTAAATCTTGCCGTTCAGACTGAAGGTTAATGACTGTGGCCTTCATATTTTGGAAAAGAGATGGCAACTATTCTATTTTGCACATTCTTGACATGGCAGTTTTAAAGACTTTTTCATTGGTGAAAGTGCCCATGGCTATTTTGATACATATTAGAATTTATGTTTGCTACTTTGGAAACATTTGTGGCTGGATTGTAACTTAATTTTCATATTTTGTATTTCCAAATCACAACAACAAAAATAAATGGGGAACCACTTCACAGATTTAAAAACTTATTTTTCTAGACACTTGTGCTTTTTAAGAGACCATTTTAGCGAAACACAAACATCTTCCGTAACGTTATACTGACTGCATCCTAAGTACTTCATAAGACCTGCTTTTTATCACTGTTTAGAAAGTAATATTGTTTTTAGAGAAAATATTTGTCATTCTGGGCTGGCCCTGAAGCACAATGGTTAAGCACTGTGCGTTGGTAGCTGGATCCCACATGGCTGACATGGTTCAAATTCTGGCTCTGGTGACTTGAAAAAGTGCCAGGTGCCTGTATATGTGCGTCCGAAATCCTGAGAGGGTGGAGAGATGAATGAAGGCACGGCCAGACCCCACTGGGTGCTTTATTTCTCCCTTTGTCTCTGGTGAGCATTCGCAAACCCTAGCAATAAAGTTTTATTTTCATCTGTTATTCTCAACTCTTGTTTCAAATATGTTCTGTCGGTGTGACTCTGATGCAGGATAAGTGAGTATGTAAAATGTGGAATTTAGTAGAATTTCTTAAGTAAATATGTTTTATAAACACCTAAATACAGATTTCCAAGGCTTTAAGTTAAACCTGAATACTTCAAAATCAATTATCTCCTGAACCCTGAAGAGCAGCTAGTTATACAGGGTGATGCATAAAACAACACACCTTGATTTTTTTTTTAAAGTTTTTGCCATAGACGCATGCATTTGCCAGAGAGACACCGAGAGAGACAGTGAGAGGGAAAGTGAGAAAGCATGCCCTGAGGAGATGGCCACACCTCAGTCCCTTCTCCCCCGTTCTCCCAGGACTTCGGAAACACACACATGCCCAGTGTGTTTCAAGCCACTGGGTTCAGGACTCGAACCGGGGTTGACTGTATGGGAATCTAGCACCCTAACTACTATGCCACCTGCTGGCCCCACGCCTTGGTATTTATTAGTTCTTAAATAGAAAAACTTTGGTCACATTGAAGAAAAGAGTTTTTGGATATTTTGATTTGGAAGCTTCACCTGTCTTTAAATGGAGCAACTTATATATACTGAAATTATACACAAATGGTATGTGATAAAACTTCTATAATTTTTGTTTGGATGTTGTTAAAAAGATAAAAAAAAAAAAAAAACATTGTAAAAGCCTGGCACGATGTGTGTCTGATCCGAGCTGCTGGGGTAGGGAGGCTTCGTCACACATACACACACACGCATGCACACGCAGTGCTTTCTTGGTACCTGTTGCACTTTTGATTTTATAACTTCCATTTTTCCTCATTCAGCATATATTTGTTGAGCA